AGGGACCTAGCGAACGATATAAAAGGGGCTATAGCCGATATTAAGGCGGCTAATATCGCCGATCTAAAAAGGGAGTATTATTTTAACTTCCCCCGCGCCTTATAGGAGCTAGCTATAGTTATTAGGAAAGAAGGTAAGTCCTATTATATCTTTAAGGTAGCCCGTAATAATAGCTTTATAAACTACTTTAATCTTATTATTATTCTAGGCTAACTAGCTAATATTAATATATCGCCCTATACTAGCTTATAGGTAGTTATTATATATACTACTAAGTATTATAGTAAATTAAAAAAGAAGATAGAGCCTTACTATAAGCTTATAGATTAGGTTTTACTATATATAGTATACTACTAGCCCTTATTATCCTTCTCCTTTTACCTTATAAATAAGTTAATTACTAAGAGAGATTATTTAGTATAGGAAATTTCTTACTTATTACTTAATATCCCTTTATAGGAAGGCACTTAAATAGTTATATATATTAACTACCGTCCGTTAAAGTAGTATACTCGGTTATACCGCGTCGACGAGGATATTAATAAGGCTATTAGTAGCTACTAGAAATATTTATAAAGAAATAACTAATATAAGAGTATAACCTATCTTAAGTACCTATAGTCCTATAATCTTAAGAGGTAGAGGAGACTTAGTACGAACGTAAAGAGGAGGGTCCTATCTTATTTCCCTTAGTATAGGTTAGTAGAGGCGTTACCTTAGTTTTATAACTTCTACTATATTAAGTTAATAATAGCTTATTTATATTACTCTCTAAAGTAGCTACTTACTATAAATAGGCGGCGGTTTAAGTCCTTTATAGTAGCGTATTAATACTACTAGCAGCGATACTATTTCTATAAGGACGACTATTATAAGGAGGTAGGAGTAAATAAGCTATAGGTAAAGGATAATAAGTTTAAGCGGGAGGAGTATAAAGAGCTTATTATATAGAAAGATTAGTATAAACTCGCTTATATACTACTAGACTATCTACTAAAGGAGGATAATATTAACGTACTAGGCCGGCGAGATATCGATATAAATTATAACTAGACTCCCTATATTAAATAGTATACTAATAACGGTATTTTCTATAGCGACTTTTAAAAGTAATATAAAGCCGAAAACCCCTTTTACCTTAATATAGATTATTAGCCGCTAAAGGCTCGCGATTCCCTAAGTTTAAAGTAGCGCTTAGTATACGATATAGTAATAAGCTACTTTCTAACCTAGGCCTATTCCTAATTATTACTTTATATAGATAGTAGCGGTAGTATAAGTAAGTTATACCTTATTAATCTACTCTTAGCGTACCTCTAAGCCGCCTTAAGCGAAAGAGGGACGCCTATTTAGCGTGCCGCGCCTATAAGCGTTATAGGAAATTAGATATTAGGCACTACCTTATACTCTTTACTATACCTCCCTATAATAAGGACTTTAAGCCCTTATTAGCGATCGATAAAGCTTAGCTATAGAAGAAGGTAAAGGATATTAAGTACCTAATTATTAATAAAAAGAGTATACTAGGTCTACGATAGCTATTATAGATTAATAACCGTCTCTATAAAGCGTTCTTAAATAAGAATAAGGAGTTTTTTAGTAGTCTTAATATCCTCTTAGTTAGCGACTTCTTTTAGCTCCCGCCTATATTATAGAAGCCTCTTTATTACGATAAAAAGGTATAGGGAGTAGAGATTAAGGGTAAGAACGTATATTAGCGCTTCGATAAAACGGTTTTCTTAAAGGTTACCTAGTATTAGCGCGGCGATAATTAAGGAGTATTTTGCTTAGCTCTTAAGGAATTATAGCTATATAAACTATCTATAAAGTCCTAGAAGCTCCTCTCTAGCTATATTTAAGCGAAGCTAGACGATTAAGAGGTTACTAAGTTTATTAATTCCTTATAAGTATAAGCTATAAAAGATAGGGTAAATAAATATAACTACTACTACCTCGACCTCTTAGCCTAGCCTATTATATAGGTTATAGCTAAGAACGTTAGCCTTAGTACTACTACTACTCTTAACGATAAGGTAGGTAACCTTATAAAGTAGATTCCTATATATATTAGCGCCCGTTTAATACTAACGTTTAACCTTTAGTAGCTAGTTAGCCTTTATAATAGTATACGTAGTATAGTATATAATATTGCCTAAGCGCCTAGAGCTAACCTTATATAAGACCCTCCCTATATAATTATAATAGAGTTTAATAAGTATATAAGGCCGGTATTCCTAACTATTATAGATAGTAGGAAGATTATCTTAATTCTACTAGTAGTTAAGGACTTCCTTATTAGAGCTATACTCTATACTTATATATAGTTTCCCTTAATCGTATACTACGCTATTATAGTTTATAAGTTATAGAGTATTACTAAAGATATAATTATAATAGATCTATCCTACTATAACTTTTAGACTAGATTAAGCTATATAGCTATCTCGCGTATAAAAACACTATAGGGTCTAATATTAGATGCCCCGTTTAACTATAATTATCTAACTTATACGTTGCTACTAGAAGGAATTAAGATAAAGATAAGGGATTAATAACTTTATAAATAATAGATTCTTACCTAGAATCTATATAAGATAGGTTATAGGTCTATATAACTCTACTTAATACTACCCGCGATAAGAATAATACTTTTTAAGGTATAGAAGAATATAAGATTATATATATTAATATACTATACTAATAGTTCGGTGACTATTAAACTAGTAGCTAGACTTATAGCCTTCGGCTAATTATACGCCTTATACTATAGCCCTAAATACTAAAGGTGTAAGGTATAGCGTAGTATTTTATAAGTTTATTATTTCAGTTTTAGAGAATTTAATAATAAATTAGAGATTTTGCAAGGGGGTCGAAATTGCAGTTTTATATGGAATTTAGAGGTGTCTAGCTCACTTGTCTGTCCAGCTAGCAATCATCATGTCAGTGAGGCGAAGCATAAAGGGGGGGAAGGTGAGAATGGTACTGACGTACGGCTGACACCGTATTTGTCACCATGACGCCAACTTCTTCTGGCGCTTTTTCCAGCGCGTGACCGCTAGAGCGTCAGTCGCTGCAGCAGCCCGACCTGCATGCACAATCGTGCTTGATGATAATTGATGCTCTTTCCCCTCCTTTTGGATTGGCTGTTTCGTGAAGGAGCTATGTTTATATCGACCTATTAGGTATTTCTATATAAGACCTAGCTTTCCACGCTTCTCTATAGCTAGAAAGATGCCATGAATATCATCCACTCGTTTCTACTTCCCACATTCGAGCAATATATGTCTCAAATATATCTAGCAGGTCTGAATCCAAGGCCCCCATTTTGCCACTGAGCAGGAAAATGAACGAAAAGTTTTATGGATTCAACAGGCGCGACCTTGTTTACTCCTGCATAAATGGACACGAGCTACTAGCAACAGTACTAACGCCGAGGATGCTGGAGAATCAGCCCAGTTCTCAGCGCCCTATCTTAGTACATTGGCATGGCGGAGGTTTTATTGCCAGAGATCGTATGTATGGGCCATGGTGGCCGAAGTGGTGAGTTTATAAATTTGAGAAGTGAAATCACGTAAAGTAATAAATGCTATAGGTCTCTTGAGCTTGCTCTATCGCAGAACGCTATAGTGATTAGTCCGGATTATCGACTCGCCCCCGAAGCTAGCGGCAGCGAAATTCTGGCGGACGTCGCGGCTTTCTGCAACTGGATGCATAATGAATTGCCGCTCATCGCGAGGCGGGATTCGTGGGTAGTCTATCCCGATATCACGCGTGTTGCATCGCTAGGTGAGAGCGCAGGAGGCTACCTAGCTATCCAGTTGGCCATATTATCACCAAAGAAGGGCCTTCGAGCAGTCATCTGCATCTCTGCGCCCTTACATCATGAGAGCAACTTAAAGCACTCGATACCACAGCCTAGAATCATATTGGGAACACGGCCGCCGCCACCTAGGCAAGCCGAAGCGCTTATTAGGGGTTATATGCGAAGCAGTACACCTGGTTCTATTAGGTCACAGGGCGATCCGACCGAGATGTGGCAGCTAGTGCTTAGCATCGCCCGTAAGTCGTCTCTATAGCTGTCTCCCTTCTTTACGAAAATTCCCAAAAGACAACCCTTCTAGAAAGACCAAAAAGAGATAACAATATGGATGTTCTAGAGCAAGCATGGCTTCCCCGACTCTTAGGCTTAGCGTCGAACGAGAGGCTCAACTTGACGTTAATGCTTGATGAACTAGAATGCATGCCACCGTTATGGATCATTCATTCGGTGCAAGACTCAGTGGTATGTGCTCAAGATTATTCCAAAGCTATTTTCTAACGTTAACCGAGCCTTGAGGTTCCTGTAGAATGTTCGACCGAGTTTGTAAAAGCAGTGGAGGAGAAATACCCTAACCTTCCTGTCCTTTTATCGTTAGAGCAAGGGGATCATGGCTTCGACTCATCGTTAGGTATGGCAGAGCATTGGATCCAGGAGGGATGTCGATTTATCCGCCAGTTCTGGCCATAAGCCTGCGAAATATTAACATATGTCTACTGGGGTTAACTTGTCATGGCTCTTCTCTTCCTTCTCCTCTTCAATATGTCCACTTCTTCCTCCAGCCTGGCGATGGTACTGTCATGCTCTGCTCATCTATTCTCAATTTGCCAGCCCTCAGCCGTCTTGATATACCGTCTCAGTTTTGCAGGCGGTTTTTTTTCTTGCCGAAATCACGAATATAGTGGCTGGTTTTCGTGTATCGCCGGTCCCCAAACAAGGCGTAAGCGTAAGAGGCTGGCCCAGAGTTTATTCAACGAACAGGTGCCTAGATGTTGTCTATCTAGAGCTAAGGAGGAAAGAAAGGGCGAAGCCACGAGTTTGGTCTTGATAACATGCAGAATGTTGTCGCGGCAACGGGCGGGGCCGGTGGCGGAGCATGAACCTCCGGCTTGGTGCAACCGGGCCCACCATGCCAGGAACAGCCCGTGACAGTAGGTATATTCCGGAATTCTGCGCCCGGTCCTTAATTGCTGGTAAAGCCACCGTCGACAACTACTCCTGCGCCCTGCATGAAGCTGCTCATGGGAGATGCCAGAAACACTATGCTGTCGGCAACTTCCTCAGTCATGGCCATTCTCCTCATAGGCGTCTGAGCAACGCGGGCAAGGAGAGGACTGTTTGGCGTTGTTCTCAAATGACATGATATCAACGGAGTCTCCACGTATCCCGGGCAGACTGCATTTATTCGGATGTTGAACTCTGCATAGGTGTTGGCGTCGGCCTTGGTCAGTCCCATGACTCCTAGTTTGCGTGGTATTGTCAGCTCCAGCTCGAGGCCAGCCGGCTTTCGTCGCGGCATCATACCGTGCTTCGCTGTAGTATAGGCAGTTTGGTTCACGGGACTGCGAGCAGCGATGATGCCGTACATTGATGCCACGTTGATGATGCACCCGCGTCCTCGACGCACGCCTAGATCCCTAATGGAAAAGTACTCTAGGTTAGCAGACATTCAGATGCTGAGGCCGACGGGGTTTGTTCATCGTGGGTATGGGATATTGTTCAGCCTTACTCCTGACCCATCATGACCGCAAGCTCCTCCTTTTGACACCTATAGACGCCACTTAGATTGGTGTCAAGCATATTGTGCCAAAACTCATCGCCCATTTCGTGCGTCCGAGGCTCAAGGCCGCCAATGCCAGCATTGTTAACCGCAGTATCTAGGCGCCCGAACTTGGCAACAACCTGAGCAATGCCATTCTTGACCTCCTCCGAGTTTCTGACGTCCATAGTGAGAGTCATCACCGTGACACGGGGAAATTTGCTCTGGACTGTTGCGGCAGCCTCATTCAGGGCTTCCCCATTGATATCGGCCAACGCTAGATTGGTTATGCCGTGCTTTCCGAAAGCAAGTGCAACTTCCAGGCCGATACCTGAGATGGACGTGTTCAATAGTCCACGCTTGTTATAACTGAACCATCAAGTCGACAGACTCACCGGAAGCAGCGCCAGTAATGATTGCAGAACCTTGTAAAAGGGACGACATAGAGGACAGATATGAGTGCCAGTAGCTAGGAGGTGAGAGCCAATTATTACTACGTGGACCTAGGTCCTAGATTTGCCGCGGAGTGGGTAGTCACAAAGGCAACTGTGTGGTAGTGTCAGTTGAAACTAACAGGTTGCAATGGATGAGAAATGGATTCTTGATTGTCCGTCTAAATGATGGTAAGAAGTTGGCTTCTTATAGTGCTATGTTTTGCCTTAGGTGGCGATGTTGCCACTTGTCACCCAGGCTGCCTAGGTGACGTTGTCAACTAGAACGTTCGACACCATCGCTTTAATCCTTGGTAATGCGACAGCGATACACGCCTGTCGCGGATGGCAATTGATCTTTCTCCGGTTCGGTCACGTCTTCCGAGCCAGAGCTCATCTTTTAGTCTGGCAGGGCAGATGGTTATAGCGCAAAGAGGTTGCCTCAAAGCAGACATTGCGGGCGTTTCTCAGTGCAAATCGTGTTGAGAGAAAAGTGGGACTACAAAGATATCTAAATCGAACCCGAGCTAAATCAAATCAAATTAGATCTATAATTCCTATTCCCAATCAACTCAAATTGGAATTAATCCATTTGCAAGCCTGATTCTAGTGCACGAGCAGGGTCGATGCGACTTGGACGAAGTGATTGTTCACAAGGAGAGAAGGAAATTCCCAAGGAAAAACTCCGACTATAGCTATTTACACAAACATTCATGAAGTGAGACTATTCACAAAGTATGACAGTTACGTGGTCGTTCCTTCATATCACACAACGGAAGCCCAGAGGACTGGAGGATCTTGATTTTTCCATGGTATATTACCATTCTAAGAGCGAGCCGACGCCACCTTTGTCTGGTCGTTTTCTCCGGAGAGTCATCATCTACTTTGTAGAGCTATACCTCTTCTTGAGTCGATTCACGGCCAAGTCGCCAAGCTGAAGCATGTTCCCACCATTCATCAACTCCAAAACCGAGACTTCAACGCCGAGCGCCTGCTTCCACCAGTTCCTCAGCTCGATCGCCACGAGGGAGTCCACGCCAACCGCGGCCAAGGTTTGCGACAAATCGAGGTCCTTGTCTTTCATCAGAAACTCAGAGGCTCGTGATGCGATTGCACGCGCCAGAACCTCTGATGATTCCCTGTTGTCGAGTCTGCCTCGGTCGTTCCCCAGCGAGCTTATCAGGGTCTGGATCGAGTTGGAGGGGCCGTTGTCGCTACCCGTGGCCCAAGCCTTCTCGATGATGCGGTACATGGCCATCCGGGGATCTCGCTTCCACAGTGTCGCATTCTGCGGGTCCATGATGGGTTTGACGGACCAGGGAACGTTGGCAAGCTGTGTCGAATTGACGAAGCTGCCTGTGGCACAATCACACCTCCGGGGGAGCGGCGCGACGGCTAGTTGCACAATGTCGAGGAAGTCCTGCTCACTGACCAACTGGGCATTGGCTGCAATGGTGCTGCGTGCCACTTCTGTTCGAGCCACAAAGCCTACGTTCTCGATGGGGCCGATATCGATGACAGACGCCACTAGGCCAAGGGCTTGGCGATACTGCACAAAGGCGTCGAGGAAAGCACTAGCCGACGAATAGTTGGATTGGCCAAAGTATCCGAGCAAGCCGGCGATGGAGCTGAAGAGGACGAAGAAGTCGAGGTCCCTGGGGAGAAGGTGGTGCAGGTTCCATGTGCCGTCCACTTTGGGGCGGACAGCAGCGGCCCATTTGGAGGCGTCCATGTCCATGACGCCGGCGTCGCTGAGAACCATTGCCATCTGCATGACGCCAGCAATGGGAAGACGGGCTTGGTCCACAACGGCACGGACGAGCTCGGCATCGGCCACATCACCCGAGAAACATTGCACGACGCAGCCAGCCTCGCGCAGCTCCTCGAAGAAGTCGTGGTCAGCTGTGGAGCGGCCAGCGGACCGCGAGAGGAATATCAGGCTCCTGGCGCCATGAGACACCATCCAGGGCGCGATGGCCCTGCCCAGGCCGCCCAGGCCGCCCACGAGCAGATACGAGGCGTTGCCCCTGAATGCGGGCTCGGGCATACTCGGCGCGAGCGGCAAGGCATCTTGCTCGGAGAGGCTAACGACGATCTTGCCCATATGCTGGCCCTGCTGCATATGGCGGTAGGCGTCCTCGACATCGACGGCGTCGAATACCGTTATGGGGCAGATCGGGTGGAAGTGTCCCTGTTGGTAGAGGTCGACTATCTGCTCCAGCAGGCGCTGCACCTGGAACTCATTGCCCATCATGGCCGATAGGTCGACGCAGCTAAAGGTGCGGTTGGCCGCAAAGCGAGACATGGCGAGCTGCCCATGGCCGAGGACGTCTCGTTTGCCGATCTCGACCATGATTCCCCAAGGGGCCACGCATTGCCACGACGCGTGCAGCAGATCGCCCGACAGCGAGTTGAGGACGACATGGACCCCGACGCCTGCTGTTGCCGCCATGACTGCGCCGACAAAGCCATCGTCTCGTGAGCTGAAGATGCGCTCGCGAGGCACGCCCAGCTCACGCTCCAGGAACTCGACCTTGTCCTTAGTTCCGGCCGTGACGTAGATGTCGGCGCCGAGCCAGCGAGCCACATGAATTGCGGCTATGCCCACGCCCCCGGCCGCGCTGTGGATCAGCAGCGACTGGCCCCGCTGCAGGTTTGCCTTGTCGACGAGGCAGTACAACGCCGTGCTGTATGCCACGGCCATGGTGGCGGCCTGTTGATCACTGAGACGGTCGGGGACGAGGATGCAGGACCCGGCCCTCCGCTGGACCTCGGTTGCGAAGCCGGGCGAAGTCGAGCCCATGCACATGACACGGTCTCCGACCTTGAAATGGTTCACGGCAGCTCCTATTGCCGTCACCCAGCCCACTCCCTCATCCCCGAAGGCGTTGATGCTACCATCCGGCTCCTCGGCGCCGGGGAACCTGACAATGCCCAGGGCAGCCATGAGCTCCCTAAAGTTGATGCCGATGGCACACATTCGAACCCTCACTTGGTCTGACTCAAGGGCCGCCAGCCTCTGTCGTCGCCACTGCAGCGACTGCAACATGCCGCGCTGGCCCACCACCAGGCGCTTTGCATCGCCCGCCGGGGCCACGTCGGCGAGAGCCCTCTTGGCCGAGAACCAGTGTAGGCGGCTCACGTGTACGGCGCCGTCGGCAAACGCAAACTCCATGTCGCCATTCACGTCGCCATCCACCTGTCGGGCGAGCTGCAGCTTTCGCATGACGCCGGCCACGGCTGATGCGGCCGCGTCCCCGTCCCGGTCGAGCTCCATGGTCGCGAAGTCGACGGCCAGTTCGGCACGGGCCGTTCTTGCCAGACCCAGAATCTGCGCATGGTATGGGTCCTCGCACCTGATCTGCGCCGGCTTGGTCAGCCACAGCAGCGTCGATTGCGAAACATGGTCCATCATATCCAGCAATTGCTTCAGGTCATTGTCTGCCACGTCCCTAAGAAGCGGTTGCGTGCTGTCCTCGAAATCGACAAAGCTGATCATGTCTTGGTCGGCAGGGGGGGCGTCTATCTTCCAGACGCAACGGTCCACCTTGTAGCCATCTCTCCTTAACGCCCGTTGCGTCGCCTGGGCCAGCGGACCGAGCTCCCGTGATGCCGTCAGCAGTGTCACCCGCCTAGCGGGAGCTTGCTCAATGGCCGGCTGTGACAGGATAGTGGCATTGACATAGTATGGTCTTTCGCCATCCAGGATGACGGAGCTGACGCCGTCGAATCCGGCCTCACGAAGTCTGGTATCCCACTGTTCTGGGAAAATATATGGCTCGTTCGGTCGACCGTCATCACTACCCAGCCACCACCCCGCGAACAGACCCTCAAGCTATAGTCAGCAGACAGTCAAGTCAATGCATGGCGGATAAACAATACCATGACAAAGTTGGCGCTTTTCGTGACTAGACACTGTGTCAGAGACATAGTTGGGCCAATTTGCTTCACTGGATGGGATACCTACTTGGCGACAGCTCCTGCAAGTATAGACGGCCGTTTGGCTGCAGTAATTTTCGACAGTTGCGAAGAGTTTCAACCAGAATGGGAGTTGCGTGTAAAACCTAAAGCAAGTCGACATGTTAGCTGCAAAAGGCAAAGTCTCGCCCATCTGCAATAATCTTACATTGGAAGCGACAATCAAGTCAAACTCGGCCTCCTTGAATCCCTGCTCCATGGGATTTTGGGCGATATCTAGAACACAATATTTTATGCCATAGTAGTCCTTGAAACGATCTCGAGCCTTAGGAAAGAAGCCAGACGAGACATCTGTGAATGTGTAGCTAAGGTACAGGCGCTCGCCCGTCTCGGATCGCAGACTCTGAAGAATCTTGGATGTGAGTCCGCCGGTGCCGGCGCCGATCTCGAGTATCTTGAGCTGTGGTTGACTATGTCCGAGGAGGGAGAAGTAATTGCTTGCGTCCAAAAGGTCGTTCATCCAATCGTAGATTTGTTGCAAGAGGTTATCTTGCAGCAACAGGTCCAGAAAATTTACACTGCCTTGGACAATGTCGGCCAGTCGACTGCATGATCGCCATATGGCCACCGCCAGAGGCCGGGCCTCGGTGGCCTCGAGCTCTTGGAGATGATCGAGTATCAATTTCTGCCGCGTTTCTTTGTCCAGGCGCACCAGCCATGGCGAATCTTCCACGAGGGGGTAGCCGGGCTTCTCAAACCGCTCGAGCTGTCTGTCGAGCCATCCCATGTAACGACCAAAGTGAGGTTGGGACGGCGTGATGGCACATTCCGCCAGACACTTCTCAGCCTCCGAGGCACATAGGACGTACAGGCGCTCAAGAAGCGCCATCTGCGACTTGACGGGGAGCGTGGGTTTCATGAGCCTCGCAGGGTCCATGAAATCAACGTGAGGCTTCCATTGCAGGCGCTGCACCGTCAATGCCAGGGAATTATTGTTCGTCTCCGTGTTTTCGAGTGGCGACCCCCGAAGGCCGCGGAGACGGAATGCAGTCTGACCGTTGACAAGGCCATCTGATGAACACTGCTGGTCGCCGCCAGTCGTGACCAACTTTATGGTTGCCGACATGGCACAGCCAATATAGAGCTCTTCGATGAATGTAGGAAGCGACAAGCCAGTGAGTTTGCGATCGAGGCCCGTCGTCTGAGCCACGAGCCAGGACTGGAAGATTATGTCGATTGTCGTCGGATGCATGGGATACCACGACTCGCATTCTTCTTGTTTGTCGGTGACTGTGGCGGAGCACAGCTGTTCCGAAACAGCCGAGGTGATATCTTGTAGCCCAGTAAAGGTTGGTCCGTAGTTGAGTCCCATCTTTGCAAGCGCCTTGTACCAATGACTGGAAGCAACTCTGCGCGTTTGGCTTTCGAATTCGGCACATGCATCCATGGGGCAAGCGCGGCCACTGATGACAAGTCCGCGGCAGTGTCTGGTCCAAGCACTCCCGTTGTGCGAGACCACGGTGAATTCGTACCACTTGCTGTCCTCCTTGGCGGTGAGTCTCCTTGGCCTCAAAGTCACCATGACTTCGACCGACTTGTCCTCTCGCAAAAGCATGGCAGCACTGAGGTGTAATTCCCGGATCGTGTACCCTGTCTGGGTGTCACGGCTCGCGCCAAGTTGCAGCACGGCCTCGCCAGCCATTGCCACATAGGCCGCAGCGGGAAATATAATGTCACCACAGACATTGTGGTCTCGAAGCCACGGGATGTCCTTGATGCGCAGAATATTCCTCCACATGGGCTCCAAGTCACCTGCCTCGGCCACTCGCGACCCTAGAATGTCGTGCGAGGGATACCGGCGCTGTCTCCAATTCGACATGACGCGCGTCTCAGACCAGTAGCTGCCGTCATAATGCCAGGGGTAGGGGGGCAGGTGAGTCAAAACTTGCGCGTCGACAGACACAGGAAGCTTTACCTTGATGTCAGCGCAGTACAGGTGTCCCATGGTTTCGAGAATCGCATCCTCGTCATCCTTGTGACGGGTGAGCGAAGGCAAGTATAACGGAGAGGCTCCTGTCTCCCTGTAGACCTGTCGCAGGGGACCGCTCAAGGCTGAATGGGGGCCAATCTCAAGGTGGATGGACGCGTCGGGACAATCCTCGAGGAGCCGTTTCACGGCCGAGTGGAACAGCACGGGGCTTTCTAGGTTTGCTTGCCAGTACCTAGGCCCGAAGTCGCCGGCCCCCGTGGGCCGCTTGACGTCGGCACTCGAGAAGAATGGAATGCGAGGTGGTTGAGCCTCGATATGGCTGTGCAAAATATCGCTATACTTGCTACCGATTTTTCGCATGTGACCTAATGTATGGACCCGTTAGCCAAGTTGTAGTTAGTGCATAGGGCGAAGAAACTTGCCTGAATGATAGGCCAAGTCGACGTGGAGCCTCCGTGCCTGGACAGCGGGATGATCAGCCTTAATCGCTGCCAGGCACCTTTCCAGAGCCTTCAAGTCGCCGCTTATCGTCGTGCTCTGGCTGCTGTTCTCACACGCGATCTGAACGCCGGGGACAAGATAGGGCTGCACCTCATCCCGGCCCAGCCCCACAGCTGCCATGCCTCCCAGGGTCTGTGGCAGAGTGTTGCACATGTACCCGCGGTAGAAGGAGATCGTGATTGCTTCCCTCCTCGACAGGACGCCTGCGGCGTAGGCTGCTGCGATTTCGCCGCTGGAATGCCCAACCACCGCCGCGGGGGTGATATGCCCGGCGGCAAAGACGTCTACCAAGGCCACCTGCAGCGCCGTACAGACTGGCATGGAGACTGCTGATTTGCGAATAATCGACGCGTCACCACAATGTAGAAGGATTTCTTCGATTGTCCATACCGGCGCATGCTCCAGTGACCCAAGAAATCCATCCATCCGTCTAATGGCGTCTCGAAAGACGGGATTTCCAAGCATCAATCTTCGTCCCATGTGTACCCACTGAGCGCCTTGGCCCGTGAAGACGAATGCAATCTTCCCGGGCCTCTTGGCCTGCTGGGTTTGGTTGCTGACTGAAAAGGGTACCGAGCCATCCGTTATACCAAACGCCCTGAGCTTCAGGTGTTCTCTATGCTCTGATAGAGTATATACTAGGGATTCCAGTTGGCTGGGAAATCTATCCAGATACCTCTGGTGTCCCTCGCAGACTGCCTTTAGCGAATATGCACTGTTCGCCGAGAAGAGGAGAAGGTGTTTCTTGCCAGCTGTTACTCGGAGCTGATCAACGATCTTCATGAAGCTTGGTGAGGATATTCCGAAAGATCTCGCCGAATCGATGATGAACTATGGTGCTATTGGTCGGTTTCTTCTTTCTCAACCAGAATCAGGCTCCAAACTCACATGTGCGTTGGAACCGCCTATGCCAAACGTGTTTATGCTTATTCGATCCCACCGATCTTGGGGCCAAGATAGCGGCTCTGTGGGAACCTTCAACTTGGCCTTATCCCATGGTACTGCCATATGTCAGCAACACGCAAAGCTGACGAGGTGTCAGTCAACTCACTGGCCGGATTGGGAGTCACAAATTTGATGTTGGGTATAATAATCTGGTTCTCCAGAGACACCACGGCTTTCAGGATGCTGCTGATGGCCGAGGCGCCCTCGGAATGGCCAAGATTTGGCTTGACGGACCCGATATAGGTGTCGCTATGGCCGAAACATTTGGCTACTGCCGAGGCTTCGAGCGGATCTCCCACAGCCGTCCCGGTGCCGTGACACTCCACCATGGCTGTTTGGTCAAAGTCCAGGCCGGCGTTCTTGTATGTCTGACGTATGAGAGCTTCGTGAGCAGCCGGGTTCGGAAGTGTAAGCCCACTGGTTTTGCCATCCGCATTGCTCCCAGAGGCTCTGATAATGGCGCGAACAGGATTGCCATCACGGATGGCCTCGTCGAGGCGCTTGATGTAAAGACATGAGACTGCCTCTGCTCTTGCAAATCCATCGGCCGACGCATCAAACGTATTGCACGAACCCGTAGGCGACAATCCCATTAGCCCCGACATGGCCACGGCCAGGCCTGGAGTTAGTATGAGGTTCGAAGTCGCCACAATCGCCGCTGAGATTTCTCCCAGGCGGATGGATTGCAACGCTTGGTGGAGCGCCACGCCTGAAGATGAACAGGCAGTTTTCACGGTTACGCTGCAACAAGGGTTAGGACGATATGGTTTTTCGCGTGAGCCGTTGGAGTGGCCATACCTTGGTCCCTTTAGGTCATACTCGTATGATATCCTGTTGGCTTGCATAAAGTCCATTTTCCCCATGAGCTGGTATGGGCCAAAATCATTCACGTCCACGGTCTGCAAATCGCTCCAATCCTCCCCATAGAGGCTCGTAAACGTGCCAATGTTCTTGCCCCTGAAGTTGGCCTCACCGGCGCTATCGAATGCTTCGCGCGTGACTTCAAGAAGCAGCCTCTGGCTGGGGTCAAGACGGGTAACTTCTGCGGCGGTCATGCTGAACATGGACAAGTCGAATTTTGTAAGGTCAACATCTTCGAGGAAATATCCGTGTCTGGTTATAATAGTCCCCGGCTTTGAGTATCCATCATGATATGCATCAATGTTGAAGCGGCTCTTTGGTATCTCACTTCGCGCATCTTGCTTGCGGACTAAAAAGTTGTAAAGGTCGGTATCGTTTCGGATCCCGCCAGGCAGTCTCATGCCCATGCCACAGATCGCTATCGGCATTGCCAGCGTCTCTTTCTCAGACTCCATGGACCGCAGAACATTGTCTTCGCCAAAATTGTGCTCCCCACAAACTCCGCCATGGTCACCGTTTGCCACTCCGTTTCTTTCGACAATGGCTGAGTTCAAATTAGCAGTCATCGTCGGTTTCTCATGCAAGAGACTCGCCAAGAGAAAGGTTAGTTCAACATTCAATCTCTTCTTCGGCCATTCAGCTACGACAGGAAAGAGATGCTGGGCTTATATAATGGAAATGCGGAATAGATGCCCGTTTGACCCAAGTCATAGAGGTCAGTTAATGCACACCACTATACGTCGCGTTCTCGGTGTGTAACACTCTAGGGAACATGCATGCGTTAGCTTCACGTCGCGTTTGCCACACATGTTTCTTCGACTTGCGCGATCAAGTGAGCAGCGCTGCGGAAGATGCCCGATGAATTAGGCAAGTGGGACCTACGTGTTTTGGGTTCTCATGCAACGAGAGTGGTTGTATAAGCCTTAGAGTATCTCTCCTGGCCAACTTTCCATATTGGCCGACGCATATTCCCGATCTCGATTACATGACCTTTCGTTGATATATTTCTACGAAATCGACCTGATCAGGTAGGCATTTTACTCTATTCGCTTTGTTATTATATGTTAAGAACTTATATATCATTACATGAATTCGGCAACTTAGCTGCCGCGCCGTGACCATACCTAGTTCCACAGGGGCTTTATACAACGTAGGACCTATCCTCGGTTCCAGACCGACGACGATACGAGTGAGCTCTTTAGAAATCAATATACGTGCCTGAATATGCCTGTAAAAAGCTGGCCCAAAACCTTTGTTCAACAAGCAAGTGCCTGCTCATTATTCCTTGCCACTACACCAGCTCATGCCACTCCCCTCCCCTGAACCTCCGCCATTTTGCCGTTACTTCCTCGCTATAATTATGCACTTGTAGTACTATCCGGTCAGACCGGTAGAAAAGATAGAACGTGATCGAGAAGGCATACTACTTATACCGTGGGCCTCCAAAAGTAACGAGCAAACGCGTATCGAGGCATTAGCCTTAAGTCTATACTATAATATAGTTTTCTATTTATCTAAGCTAAATAATAGAATAGAAATTTAAAGAAAATCTCCCTAAATAGATAATAAAGAGAATATTTTACTAGATTTATCTAGCATTTAGTATACCAGCTATTTATATTAATAACGGCTTAGAGCCTATAAGGCATTAATAAGATAGGGTTTTTAAGGATATCGTCTTCGATCTCTTCCTACGCTTAAATAGCAGCTTTATAGAGCCGCTATTTTAAGAAGGAATTAGAGCTAAGATGCTAAAGCTCTAGATAATCCCTTTAGATTTATTACTTAACGATTTTCTATGGATTTTTAGTCGGATTAAGATCGGGCGAGTATAGCGGCTAATCGACGGATTTAACCCTATTCTCTAAGAGGAAATCGTAAAGCCATTCTTTAATAAGGCGGCTTATATATATAGGAGCGTTGTCTTAATTAAATACGCTGCCTAGCTCGACTATTATTAGAAGGTTCTCGATAAGGTAGTCCTTAATAACTTAGGCCGTAATGCCTTCCGGTGCGAATTTAGGTCTCTAGGGAGCGTAATTAACGCTATACGTTTAGTATATAAAAAAGCGACCTAAAATATTATAGAGTCTTTCTTTAGCTTACTTAAACGCTATACGTTCTGCTTAAGAAGTCTCTCGCCTTAGGCTAAATTAGCTAGCATAAGAGAAGAGCTAGCGTATTATATACCGGCTTATAGAAGACCTATTTCTGGCCCTCTTTGCCGCTCCGGCTAATTTAGCTCTCGTCCGAGAAGACCTAGCTTTTCTACGCCTCTAGAGGAATATTAATATAGCGTCTCGTAAAGGCGAGCCTTTTTTGGACTACCTTTTCCGTTAATTTAGGGCGTTAGAGAGCTTAATACCCCCGTCTTTAAGATACTAAAGAATAGTCGTTACTCTATATATAACTAACGTTGTTTGCTAATGCTAAAGGATTAAGGTTAAGGAGCCTTAATGCATCGAATAATAGCTATTTTCTCTCTTTCTGATAGAATTAGAGGGCGCCCAGCGCGTTTAAGGTTAGCACCACTAATCTGCTACTCGTAGCACGATGCGATACCGTAGATGCTTCCGCGGGAAACGCCTTCTCTTATAGTAATTACTTAAGCAGAACGCCCGAATTATATATCGTTGCGATCCTTATCCTCTTGCGAGGAGACTAGACTCAATGAGGCCTTAGTATGGGAATTATTAGAGAAGTTATGGGTGTTTTAAAGCCCTAGTGGAGGCGTACTAGTCGCGTTAGGCGATACGCGTTTGCTCGTTACTTTTGGAGGCCCACTATACCACTCATATTCGCTGGAATCGCTACCTGTAACAACCCATAATTATTCATTTGTTGATGGGCTGTATCGCCTTACTGGTTTCTTGCCACTGTCTCTATGTGTAAAGAGTACAAGCGCGACTAAACAGAGAGTGAAGAACGGGGTTCGATTAATTCCATTGTTGATCTCTGAAGAGCTCATTTAACACTTGAGAGACGGCGTCTTTTTAACAAAATAGCAACCTCCGTTTTCTGACGGCTTACCTCCGTAATGTCTCGGAGGTCTGCTTTCGCTGGCACGTGACACTATGTCTTCTCTCCAGCACTTTATGAGCCTTTGTTTATCTGACTTTCTGAACACCTTCTCCGAGTAAAGCGTAAGTATAACGTTTCGGACTTGAGCGTAACACCTTCCTGAAGCCCTTGAAGAAAGTCCTTCCGAGTAAATCCGGTTGCTAGATGCACATTGTATCGCCTCACAATCTCCCCTGTTAAATGACGGAGTTGGAACAATGCGAACTGCTTTCCAATGCACGAAGATCGTCCTGGGCATTATTAATGAGTGGTGCTTGAATTTAAAAAGATGACTGACCGATTAAGAATGGAGCAAATATTGATCCATCCTTTACCAACTCTGTCTTCGATGTCCATCGTTCCGGAATGAAATTATCGGCCTGGTCGAAAAGCCGCTCATCTGTAATTATCATGTCAAGATATGCTTCGGCTGAGGTAGAAGATGCGCAAATCCACCGGTACATACCTCGGTAGATCGTGTAAAACGGCATTTGCACAATAGTATTTCCCGGAATAAAAGCATTCTTCAGCTGCAGCCCAGCGGCTGGGACGACCCGCTGCGCTCCTGATGGAAGCACTGGGTAGAGACGTAGGGCTTCATTGATGCATGCCTGGAGGTATGGAAGCTTTGCCAAGGCCATTTGGCTTGGCTGTTCCTCATGGGCATATAATTCATCAATCTCTTCCTGGAGGATTGTCCAGACATGGGGATGGTCGGCCAGCTCGAAGAATAGACAACTGAGGGTGTGGGATGTTGTTTCGCTGAACGCTGCCGATTAGATTGTGCATGGCCGTAGTCATACGACAGGTTGAGTACTAACCTTGCAGCCATCAAGATCAAATAAGCATCCCATTTGAGATTTTGGAATTCTAGCCAAGCTGGCTCCTTGTTGCCCAACTCTGCCAGGATCCAGGACAAGATGTCTGCGGCAGGCTCCTTGCACTAATATGCAGGAACGGTGGCTTTTCTTAGAAGGATCTTGACCCAGGCGGAGAATCACTCACCATTCGTCTTTGGTTAACTTGTGTAGACAGCCATTGATGTAATTGTACGTATGGGCGATTCAAACCTGGCACCCGCTTCAGCAGAAGCAATAGCCAGACAACCTTATTCAAGGCGCCCAAGGCGATGGCCGCAGAATGCGAGAACGAAGGTTCCATGGCAGGGGGGAATGCTTCGTTGCTCATTGTATTAGAGCTTCGCCCAAATGCCAGTTCTGACGCAATGTCATATGAATACATTAAAAACCATCTCGACATGTTGATCGGATCGCCGTCGATTGCATCCTCGATCCTCAACATGAGCTGATTGGTGTAACGAGTTACATGATGTTGATATTTTTCAAGTTCTGGTAAATGCGCGTGAGAATACAACGCCATAGTTTTAACCGGCGAACAGGTACGCACCTTGGCTGTTAAATGCTTTGTCCCATACCTTCCGTCGCCGGTCATGTTTCCCTCTGTCTCGCGTGCTGTGCAGCGAGGTGCCAGGTAAGAAACTATCGTACTCTGGTCCTTTCGCACATGCTGTGTGAATTGCTTTAAATGCATCAGCGTCAGCAATTGATAACGCGGATGGCCCTGTGTGCTCGGTTTAGCTTGGCACATGATATCCTATACACGGTTCACCTGCCTATTCGCACGAAGTCCCCATACATGCGAGTTCCATGCAGCTTTTGAACCTGCCTAAAGAAAGATTCTTTCCCGAAACATAGAAATACTGCGTAAAAGCTCGACAGGCTGGCGGCAAAGGGTCCGGGAAATCGTTGCAACGGATGGAATAGAGCGCGGTAGAGTGTCATGCTGGCATATATGCCCAGGATCGAACTTAGCAACTGTGACAAAGCATCCAGAAATCCCGCCCAAAGTGACCTGCGCGCCTGTAGCGAGGCCATCAGGAAAGTCCATGCTATAATCACGCCAACTGTGGCAGCTATAATTCTCCACACATGGTAGTGCCATTCACCAAAACGAAATACGATTAAGTGAAGGGTGACGCCGGCCAAAAACGCCAAACAAAGACTGAGCGAGCTGCCAGGTTCCATGGGACGCACGTCAGGGCGGAGGTTTGTTTTCAAGATGAAGAAAGAGAGGACGCTTGGACTGGGCCGGAAGCGTACATCTAATTAATTTATACTTTATTATGCTTGATAATGGCTTTCGGGTGAACTAGGCGATATACCTTGAGGACCATACATTCAGAGTCGGGGAGCGTCCGGCTCGATCGTATTGCGAGATGCTAATCTTACTCAGACGTCTATGTCTCACGCGGACCATATGATTCGATTCGATTTGAAGCATCCAAGGTTGATTTGGACTTATTTGAACACGATTCATGTTTTGCAAACCTCCAACCGGGGTTTGGAGTGTAGGAACTGCATCTGACAAGATGGATTTCACTGCTTTAGGAACGTGGTTTCATTAATTCATAGGCCAGACGATATGCCAGCGTACCAGGACATCAAGTTATCGGACGTCTCGCGAGGAGAGCATGCGAGAGGGATGATGACACTAGATGAAAACCAGTCACAGAAGTGTCTTTACATGTGATCAGGTGTTGTCGTGTGTATTGTTGTGCCCTGTCTGCCACCTCTCGCTTCCCTCTTTTAGGCGCCTTATTTAGCCTCGTATATGCAGCCTCCCTGCAGCCTATGTAGCCGCCTCATGCTGTCTAAAATCTGTCTGCGGACTGCTCGTCTGACTAGCCCTAATAGGCCATTTCGCTGTATACCCCTCATGGCCGCTTAGCTCAAAATCCCAGACGCGCTTCAGGATGCCATATTTGGTTGAAATTTATCAACAAAATATAAACACGACCAACATTCCTGCCTGTTCACATCGAGGTCCATAGCTTGGTTCATGCCCCACATACAACACCCTCACCGGTACAGCAAGCTACCTACAAACACCAACTAAACGAGCATAAATGGACAAGATGTACCTTGCATGAAAAGACCCTTGCAATACAGTATGGAAAACCACCCTGGTTCAAAGTTTGGTGGTCAGCACCAGAGTTCTACGAATGACAATGGGCGTGGCGCGGTACCTTAAACTTCCACGAAATCTACCCCATGCCTTAAGTAGTGGGTCTACAGATTATATTGGGTTTTCCACGGAGTCAACGTAGATTCCGCGGCAACGTTATGATAGGTAAGTTGCGAAATGCCAATCTTATCTTGTCTACGTCCATACGGACCATATAACTCGATTGGATTTGAAGCATCCGGTTCGATTTAGAGTGAATAGATTTGGACGAAGCACACGGTGTTGCAATCCTGCAACTCGGATACTCCTGGTTGCAGAGCAGGGGTTAGGTTACAAGATGGATTCCCCGCTCTACGAACATGGTTTCATAGGTAAATTTAGGCGTGGATATTTGCTTGAAATTTTTCAAAATATGACGATTAGCTTAAGCTTTCCAATGTGTGCATCTGAGGTACAATAGCATATTCCGCCGGTGCACAGTCTGGAATTTTCGTGCGCCAAAAGAAGGTGGCCCTCAAATGCCTGCCCTATGCTATCCCGCGCAACACTCCCCCCAGGTTCATCCTAAAGTTCAACAGGATGGAGGCGGACAAATGACACCAAACGTCCGCGAGTTGGTTTTGTTATGATAATTCGGCGGGCCATGTGCTGTGGCGTACCACTGATTTTCTGTTCGCCTTGCCTGCGCTGGTGCTCGAATAGAATTGATGCTATGCAGAAGATGTACTTTTCTTTATCTTGTGAGAATAGCAACGCTGGTCAAAAAACTTTTGAATTCGAAAGGTTTGATATGAATTACGTATCTACAAGCTTGCTTGGTCACGTCGAGGCCCATACCCTGGTACAGGGTAGGGAATCAATCCACGACGGGCGTTCGTGGATTGACGACAGGTATGACACGTCCCCAAATATGAGCCGTGCCATCCCTGTATCCTCGCATAGCTATCCCAAATCATGCTTAGCGTCCACGAAAGGCGTCCGTGGATGGATTGATTCCTCACCCTGCCTTGGTATGCATTCCATACGTTTGCAGGGGATCTTGGCTGGGTGGAACAGGACATATATCTGGTGTGGATGTGATTTCTCCAGAGAGGATTGACTAGGAAGAATGATGCCCATTGCAAGCCGTATATATAAATACTGCGCTGTCTCTTGAGTTTGTGGAAATTCGCGATCTCGTCGAAATTCAACATCAATGCTCACGAGACCACACACTCATGGCAACGCTACCTGTAGCTCTGGGATATTTTTCTTTGATGATATGCTTCCTAGTGTATCAGCAACAATCTCGAAAAAGGCTTGCCCCAGGCCTTCCTCCAGGTCCCAAACCTTTACCCTTTGTCGGGAATGTCATGGACCTCCCGCCACAGGGCATCCTTGAGTTTCAGCATTGGCTGAAGTATAAGGATATGTACGGCCCAATCAGTTCGATTACCGTTCTGGGCCAGACGCGCATTATTCTTCACGATAAAGAGGCAGCACACGACCTTTTAGAGAAGATTTCCACCAAGACGTCAGGTCGACCAAAGTTCGAGTTTGCGAATACGTTATGCGGCTTCGACAAATTTGTCCACGCCCTGGACCTTGATGATACCTTGCGGCTGTACCGAAGATTTATACACAAGCACCTAGGTACGCCAATAATAGCAGCCCGTCATCGCAATCTCCAGGAAGTAGAAGTCCGGCGGTTACTTTTTCGCCTTTTAGATCAACCAGGAGGTCTAGTTAAGCACTTGAAAACGTAGGTTATATTGTCTGCCTATATCTAAAAGGCTAAGAATACTGTCCACGTCTTGGAAAAACTCGGTTGCTGTTTCCTCGATTGACAATATTACAGGATGTCTGGCGCAATCATCCTGAAATTGACCTACGGCTATTCGATCGAGGCAAACAAAGCCGATCCACTAATTGACTTGGTCGATCGTATGATGGTCAATGTATCGCTTGCACATATGATTCAGGCCTGGATGGTTGATATCTTCCCTGCACTAAAGTATTTGCCCGATGCGCTTCCCGGCATGACATTCAAGAAGACGGCACGAGAATGGAATAAGATCAATCAGGCGGTAGCAAATATTCCATACTCATTTGTGCAGCACCAGATGGCCAATGGCAACAATCGGTCGTCATACGTATCAACGCAGATCGAACAATGTAGCGTTGATGCGAAGCTCAGTCAAAGGAACGAGGATGCTATAAAGTGGACGTCCGTGTCTCTAGTTGGAGGGGGCCTGGATACTACAGTTTCGAGCCTATCCAGCTTCATTCTGGCCATGATTCTGTTCCCAGATATACAGCAGAAGGCGCAGGAGGAGATCGACCGAATAACCAATGCTGATCGCCTCCCCAGGTTCGATGATCGAGACAAGCTGCCATACACTAGCGGCATAGTCAAGGAAGCCCTCCGATGGTCCCCGGTCCTGCCGCTAGGCACTCCTCATGTGATTACAGAGGATACGATCTACAAGGGTTATCTTATCCCTAAGGGGGCAATCCTAACCCCTGCAGTATGGTGGTTCTGCCACGATCCCCAGGTATACGCCGAGCCACAATTATTTGACCCGGAGCGATACCTGGAACCGCGCAATGAGCCTGATCCTAGTATTCACGTATTTGGGTATGGACGCAGAATGTGTCCCGGTCGGTACCTTGCCGACTCAACCATTTTCCTGGCCATCGCGCAGATACTAGCGGTTTTCAATATCAGCAAAGCGGCTGATGGGCACGGGATGGGGATTAAAGCCAGGCTTGAAACAACGCCAGGGGTGCTTACTCACCCAAAGGATTTCCCTTACAGTTTAGCACCAAGGAGTAAGAAGCAAGCAGATCTAGTTCGAAGTATTGAGGTCGAGCAGCCGTGGGAGGAGAGCGATGCAGATCTCCTTGACCTGGTCACTACTGTATAGTAATATTCAATGGTTCACCGGATTGTTAATCCTAGCTCTATTAGATAGAATGCGCAGTTATGTCTCACTTAAGAGGTCACTATATGCGTGAAAGGCTGGCCGGGAGTTTCTCAAAAAGCAGGTGCCTTGGTATTGTCCATCTAGAACTGAGGAGAAAAGAGAAGAAGCTCGAGGCGTAGCCTCGAGCCAGGGCCAAAATCTTGGTCCGGACCCGGCCATACCATAAGGTTATGGCTTGGCTTCTAAGTATTGGTGTACGAATGTCTATTCCAAAATACTAATTCGATTATTCGCGACTCGACGCGGCGCGACGTGTTGGGTGCAACTGCCGAACTCCTTGGTGATGCTAAGATGCACTAGCAGGTACATCACAGCTTAATGACTCGCGTTGATAAGGCATCTTCTAGCTGAAACTGTCTTCAGTTTTTGATTTTTTTTGGTTAGTGTATTTTCCGTCCAACGGCCGTGAGGCCGCTCAAGTCTTGTCGAAGACTTGGACTTGTTGGCGAACCTGGGTTTCGTATTGAGGTGGAAATGACAGTTGCATAAATATTCCTTCCGCGTGGTCTGCTGGCTCTTGCGCCGCTCGTGTGATGCTCCTCGCCTAGCATCCTCTTGCGAGACTTGGCAGTCCCCGCCTTGAGCTTCTTGAACTGGTTTAAAGCGCTGCATTTCAGGAAGAGACGTCTGGTTCTACGCGTGCCCTCGGAGTGATCCATATTGCTATACAAAACAGCCAAGCAGACTTGCAAACAAATAAATCAAATTCAGATTTATTCAAATCAAATCAAATCGGTCAGCAGCGTATTCAAATCAAATTAAATCGTGGCGGGCGAATTTTTTTAGATGTATGTATGTGTTGGTAGGTCTCAATGCATGCATGCACAGATGATAGAGGTAACTGGTGTGTTGTAATCGTCTATGATCTTCTAGGAAGGGAGGAGGCCACGAAGCTAGCTATGTGGCCTCAGCTATCCTCAGCCGTACACGTGATAGCGCACGTGAGCTAGCTAGATAAGTATAATAGATTACTAAAATACTGCGCCATACCTTACACCTTTAGTGTTTAGGGCTATAGTGCAAGGCGTATAATTAGCCGAAGGCTACGAGTCTAGCTACTAGTCTAGTAGTTACCGAACTATTAGTATAGTATATTAGTATATATAATCTTATATTCTTCTATGCCTTAGAAAGTATCGTTCTTATCGCGGGTAGCATTAAGTAGAGTTATATAGACCTATAACCTATCTTATATAGATTCTAAGTAAGAATCTATTATTTATAAAGTTACTAATCCCTTATCTTTATCTTAATTCCTTCCGGTAGCGACGTATAAGTTAGATAATTATAGTTAAATAGGGTATCTAGTATTAGACCCTATAGCGTTTTTATACGCGAGATAGCTACGTAGCTTAATCCGGTCTAAAAGTTATAGTAGGATAGATCTATTATAATTATATCTTTAGTAATACTTTATAACTTATAAACTATAATAGTATAGTATATAATTAAGGGAAACTATATATAAGTATAGAGTATAGCTTTAACGAGGAAGTCCTTAACTACTAGTAGAATTAGGATAATCTTCCTACTATCTATAGTAGTTAGGAATACCGGCCCTATATACTTATTAAACTCTATTATAATTATATAAGGAGGGTCTTATATAGGGTTAGCTTTAGGCGCCTAGGCGATATTATATACTATACTATATATACCGTTATAGAGGCTAACTAGTTACTAAAGGTTAGACGTTAGTATTAAACGGGCGCTAATATATATAAGAATCTACTTTATAAGGTTGCCTGCCTTATCGTTAGGAGTAGTAGTAGTACCGGGGCTAACGTTCTTAGCTATAACCTATATAACGGGCCGGGCTAGGCGGTTAAGGTAGTAGTAGTTATATTCGTTTACCTTATCTTTCGTAGTATATACTTATAAGGAATTAACGAACTTAGTAACCTCCTAATCGTTTAGCTTCGCTTAAATATAGCTAGAGAGGAGCTTCTAAGACTCTATAGATAGTTTATATAGCTATAATTCCTTAAGAGCTAAGTAAAACGCTCCTTAATTATCGCCGCGCTAATACTAAGTAACCTTTAAGAAAACCGTTTTATTAAAGCGCCGATATACGTTCTTACCCTTAATCTCTACTCCTTATACCTCCTTATCGTAATAAAGAGGCTTCTATAGTATAAGCGGGAGCTAAAAGAAGTCGCTAACTAAGAGGATATTAAGACTACTAAAAAACTCCTTATTCTTATTTAGGAACGCCTTATAAAGACGGTTATTAATCTATAATAGCTATTATAGACCTAGTATACTCTTTTTATCGATAATTAAGTACTTAATATCCTTTACCTTCTTCTATAGCTAAGCTTTATCGATCGCTAATAAGGGCTTAAAGTCCTTATTATAGGGAGGTATAGTAGAGAGTATAAGGTAGTGCTTAATATTTAATTTCCTATAACGCCTATAAGCGCGGCACGCTAAATAAGCGTCCCTCTTTTACTTAAGGCGGCTTAGAGGTACGCTAAGAGTAAATTAAACTTACCTATACTACCGCTCCTATCTATATAAAGTAATAATTAGGAATAGGCCTAGGTTAGAAAGTAGCCTATTACTATATTATATACTAAGCGCTACTTTAGATTTATTACGACCACGGCTACTAGGCCGCTAACGGTCGACCGCGTTAAGCACGTAATACGGTCTAACGGATAAATAGTCGGCACGACTATCTAATAGATATAGGATTAAGGGGATTATAGAGATCTAAGTAATCTAGGATTAATAGGATTACTACGCTCTATACGATCTAATATTAGGGATTATAGCTAGGCCTATAATCTAAGGATAGTCTCTATAGGTATATATAGCTACCTACTTTTACTCCTTTAGATAGATAGCTCTCTAGCTTTTAATATAGATCTTTATTATAATTCTATCTCTAATTTTAATTACCTAGTTATAGTCTATAGTCTATAACCTCTAACTTATTACTAATATAATATACTTATTATTACTTAGACTACGCCCTATTATATCTACTAATATAAACCCCTTAATAGGTTTATCCCTTAAGAATAATACTAGTCGTTATACGTTAAAAGCTCTTATTTAGTATAATACCGCGTTACTCTAAGTAATATCGTAACTATTAATATACCTATATAGTAAACTAGATTAACTAACTCTAGAGCTACTATATCGCCTTAAAATATAATACGCGAGATTATTACCCTTTAATATAAAGTATAGTTACTTAGGAACGGAGGAGGTAACGGATAAGTTAAGGACCTTAGAAAAGTAGTTAAACTAAAATAGCTAGGACTATTCGACGGTACTTACGGTATGCTTTAAGACTTTCTTACCTAACTTAAGGCCTATTACCGGTTTTACCCTATTAAACTCTTAGACCTAGTCGAAAAGGTACTCTACGTAGGAAATTATTTATCTAGAATAGTACTCGCTTAGTTTAGACCTATTATAAGGGACTTTCTCGATAACTAACTAGCGCGATAAGATAACGAGATAGATAAAGTCTTTACTAGTTTCTAAGGATTTAAAGAAGCTATTATAAAGGTATTTAGAATAACTAATAAGGAATAAGAAGCTAAATAAAAACTTTAAGAACTTTAATAAAGGATCTTAGTATTAGATTATACTACGAAGTTCTAATAAGTTACCTTAAAGCTTAATTAGGACGATAAACCTCTTATATTACGATTCTACGACGGGCTTAAAGAAGAAGTTAAGGATAAACTCTATAAGGAAAATCGACCTAATAACCTCTTAGACTATATTTCTATAGTAGTATAAATTAATAATAGATAGTACGCGCGACGCTAAGAAAAGAAATATAGAAGAGGAAACTAGAACCCTTCCTATAAGAATAACTTTAACCGATACGCTAACTATAAAAAGAAGCGCGAAACTCTTATTACCTACGCTTATATAACTAACCTAAGTAAGATAGATCTAAATATAATATAGAAAAGCAAAGGAAAGTATTTTAACTATAGGAAACTTAGATATTACTTTAAAGAATATAAATAACCTTATAAGGAGAAGAAAACCTACTAAGTACTAGCCCTAAAAGGTAAGAAATACCTAAACGCTACTAATCGATAGGAACTAAAGTATAAACTCCTTAGTTAGACTATATACTACGACGACGAATATACGGTATACTTAAGCGATAAAAATAGTACTAGATAGTTCCTAAAGCTATTAAAGAAGACCCTTATAATAATATAATAAAGGGATCTTAAAATATAAAAATAAGTTAAATTTATAGGACTAAAATACTCCTATCCTAAAGGAGTCTCTTAAGACTAGATTAAGAAGAACGGTAAACGATTCTAGGAAGATATATAAAATAAAGATCGATAATAATAATAGGTAGTCTATAAGTAATATAATAAAGAAGATATAGATATAGCCCTTATACTTATAAAACTTAGATAACTACCTAAAGAGGAATAACGAAGTATCGATAATATAAGCTTTAAAGAATAAGAAATACTTAGAGAAATAGAAGACGAGAACGAACTTATACTACTACCCTTACTATTAAGGGAGAATACTACGATTAGAAAACACGCTCTATATTTTAAAGAATTCGAAGAAATACTTAAAATTAGAACTTAATAAATACCTTAAATTCTTATAGAAAACTAATAAGCTATATTAATTCGATATTAACCGGCACTATATAAAAGAGACTATACTATAGCTATCGCTATAGTTAATACCTTTATAGCTCTATAATAAGAATAGTAA